AAATATGTGAAAATGCATCTGTCTTTGTACTGAATTAAAATATAGATATGAAAATAATGGTTGATGGTGATGGTAAGAGATGATGATGGAAAAACTTGGTATGGAAAAAAATTGGCAATGACGAATCATGGGGATTACGATATGATATTAAAATGATATCGACGATAATGATAATAGTGATGATGATGGCAATGATGAGGGTGTTGTTGGTGATAATGGTGGTTGTGATGATAATACTAATAATGATGATGATATGATGATGACAACGTTTTTTGAACGATTCCAAAGCATCTAGATTTAATGTTTCTTTAATGGCTTTGCTGTGACTTGGAGTATGATGGATATAAAATTGCTAATGGTGATGATGACCATCATGTCGAAGGAGACCACGATGGTGGTAATTAAGATGATGAAAGGGGTGATTGAGTGATTGAGAGAGGGCTGGTGATGTTGATGAAGAGAAAAAAGATGGTGAGGAGGAGGAAGAAGATGGTGAGGAGGAGGAAGAAGATGGTGAGGAGGAACAAAGAGGATGGTGACGAAATGATTACGACAATGGCGATGGAAAAATCTGAAGATGACGATCATGATGATGACGGAGAAAATGATTACGGCGATGATGAAGATGAAAAGGAGAAGGAGGATGATGAAGGGAGTGCATGTGGACTGATCTACAGCGTTTTGTCACGACATCTAGCGACAATGTCCTTCGCCAATGATTAATTCGTGCGTCGCATCACGCACGTCGCGAACGAATCTCCATGTTTGTTCGTCTTCATGTGTGTGTGTGTTTGTGTGCGTGTGTGTTTGTGTGTCTTTTAGCGTACGCGCTTTTCTGGCTGCTGTTATGTTGTGTATGTGAAGAGAATCTGAATGTGTGTGTTTGCCTGCGAGTGTATTTAAATTGGTGAAGTTTCATCTTTATTAGTGGGTGTTTGCTCTTTTTTTAAAAGTTATTCAAAGTGTTTGTTCGACTGGATGTAAGAACGCAAGTTATTTGTTTGTAGGAGTGCAAGTTATTTGTATGTAGGAGTGCAAGTTATTTGTATGTAGGAGTGCAAGTTATTTGTATGTAGGAGTGCAAGTTATTTGTATGTAGGAGTGCAAGTTATTTGTATGTAGGAGTGCAAGTTATTTGTATGTAGGAGTGCAAGTTATTTGTATGTAACGTCATTTATATGCTCTCGTCATTGCCTTCGGTGAAAATATACGCACAATTGAATGCGTGAATGTATACATACATGTGCATACATATTTATGCGTTGTCAAGTTGTCAAATACCTTGTCACTTAGTAATCTACGTGAACTGCTAACCAATCAAACAATTGGGTGAATTGTATTGCACGTAAACTTGCTTGTCATCCCCATCATTGCACTTATAGAACCTCTTCAATCCCAATCTTTACATCAGGTTCTTGAGTTTCGTTTTTTGAATTTTCATTCATTCTTATCAATCCCCTGTCGCTACGTTCGCAACGAGGTAGGTCGTCCAATCTTCTCATCAGCCAGTGGTCGGAGTAACTCCATTTTGTTTCTTTCTAATAAAATGGTTGATTTCATTTCAAACTTCATTATTCAACAAAAATTTGTTGCTTCATTCTATATAGAATCTAACAAAGCTAACATTTAATACAAACATTCAAAATATTAACTGTTAGTCATTTGTTTTTTCAATCATTCATTAATTCATTCAACCATTCATTCATTTATTTATTTATTTATTTATTTATTCATTCATTTATTTATTCATTCATCCAATCAATCATTCATTCATTCATTTATTCGTTCATTCATCCGAGCACCTAGATACAAAGCATACAATCCATGCTTCATAAAGCATTCGGCTAAACATTCAATCAAGTAGAATTGTTTAATAAATCAATAATAATAATCTATTAATTATTTATTGCGTAATTATTATTCTTTCTAAAGAAACAACAACAACAGAAAAATATGTTACGATGCTCACATTCACGTGCGTGCACACAATCACACAGGCCTTCGCAGTAGTTCGTTACAATGTGCGTTACACGCATTTGCGTATACACGTGCGTGCATACTAATGTATGCATTAACGTGTTTGTGTGCATGTGCACGTATGTGTCTGTGTGGGCGTATGTGTGCGTGTACTTGTATGTATGTGTCTATGGATGTGTGTGAGTATTTTTACGAGTGTGTGTGTGTGTGTGATGTGTGTGGGGTGTGTGCGTGCGCGGTTTTTTCATAGACATCACGTTATAATCGAATGAAGCTCCCTCGTAGAAATGTGAAAAAAAGCATCGCAAGAAATTATGTACGGTGGTCTATCACGTCATCCATACTGTGATGAAGACTGTTTTTTTTGCCGGGATGATGATGATGGTGATGATGATGATAGTTATGATGATCGCAATACTGAATAAGATAATGATCTCGGTGTTGGCGATAGAGATGATGATGATGATCATAATGTTGTTGTGTGTGTGTGCGTGTGTGTTTGATGACGACGACGACAATGATGACGACGACGATGATGATAAGCGTGGTGGTAAGTAATACTGGGTGAGATAATTTTAGCGACGAGTTAGAACGAATGAAAAACGAATTATCATGACGTCATCATGGCGTCGTCATCGAGTCATTATTTGTGGAAAATTGCTTTAAAAATTCATCAAAACAAGTTATTTACCCTGATTGCTAGAGAGGATGGTTCATGATGATGATGATTGTTGATTGTTGATTACGGTGATTAGGTGATGACGATGAGTGTGTGTGATTGTGATAATGATGATGATGATAGAATGATGGTGATGATGGTAATTTAATTATGTGAAAATAATTACGGCAATTATGGAAATAAAAACCGGTAATAATTATTTTTTATTATTCCTGAAATACATGTAACTCTGGAAATGGAATAGCTCCTTAGTGCTTACATACCATTCCATTATATAATTAGTCGGTTACAATCAAACTATTCGTGCCAGCCACAAATTCCGAAACATGCACGCCAAACCACGCCACACCACACCACACGAAAAAATGGCGCAACGCATACGTTTTGAATGTAGGTACGCCCAAGCATCGCATTATACGTACATACCTAACGTATGATAATCTCTGAGGAGTTTCGAAGAGATAGTTTTCGAACCCGGGTCATTGCGTTAAAACAAAAACGCAAAAAGTGGCACTTCAACCGTCTGAGCTATCTCGAACCAAAATGATGATAATGAGAAAAAATTGAGGATGATGATGTGTGTGATAATGATGGTTCTGACGGTTAAAATGATAAATTGGTGATAATGATAATGGTAGAAATACTGATGACGATGATGATGATGACGATGACGACAGAGATTATAATAATGATGATAATGAGTAAGATGATGAATGAGAATAAATGTATTTTTTTTTCATACACTGATATCGTGTCGATGTTTCATTTTACACTGCCTGCCCGCCTGTCCATCAATAAATTGATAGTGATGATGATGAAGGTGATGATGATGATGGTGATGATGATGAGGTTGATGAAGATGAAGATGATGTGGATGAAAAAGATGATGGTGATGATAATAATAATAATTGATAATAATAATAATAATATAATTTACTGTTACAATAATAGTAATAATAATAAATATGAAAGAATGAATGAATCAGTCAAATGAACGAATGAATGAACGAAAGGATGAATGAAATGATAATTATAAAAGCATGACGAACATTGAGATAAACATCAATAATAATAATAACAACAACAAAATAATTTTAATAATAATAATTACAAAATAATAATAATAATAATAAATAATAATAATAATAATAACGAAATAATTATAAAAATAATATTTACAAAAAATAATAATAATAAATAATCAATAATAAAACTTGAAATGACGAAATAAACCTGCTTATTACTATTTGATGTCACTCTATTATTAGCGTTTTATATTTATAAACATAAAACTCTAACACACACATTTACACATACACACATATAAACACACACACACATACACACACCTACATATACACACACACACCACACACGTACACATACACACACACACACACACACACACACATACACGCACCTACATATACACCTAAACACACACACACCACACACGTACACAATACACATACACACCTACACACACACACACCTAAACACACACACACATACACACACACACACATGCAAACACGCACACACACAATATAGAAATAATTTTATTTTTATTTTGAAATTAATTGGGGCGCCAAGTAAAAAAACAGATGAATGACTTTTACGAGATTGTACCAGACCCTCGTAACACCTTTATAACAATAACAATAATAATAATAATAATAGTAATAATAATAAACTTTTTATTATATATCGTATCGTAATAAAATTAATTGCCATTGTTTTGTATTATTTTATAATTAAAATAATTATTTTTATAAAAATAATATCAGTGAAAATAAAAATGTAATCGATGTAACTTTATAGGTTTAAAATGAAGATTGAAAAGAATTAATATTTCCATTTTGTTTAGCCACATAACTTGCTACAACAACCCCCATAACATCAACTAAATACAGCAACAACAACAACAACCAAAACATACAAAATACAGCCAGCAACAATAATAACATCATCAACAACAACTACAATTTCAACCAAATACATCAACAACAACAACAACATCAACCAAATATAGCAACAACAACATCAACAAAATACATCAACAAAATACATTAACAAAATACATCAACAACAACAACATCGTCAACAACAACCACAACAACACGTACAACAAACGTTGCGACCTGCACCAGTTCTCAGTGCGTTTATATTTGCGCAAACAACCGCAACAACAAAAATTACCATAACAAATCTCAACAACAACAGCAACAACAACAGCAGCAACAACAACAATCAAATACAGCAACAACGCATGCAACGTACCACT